AATAACAAACAATGTGCGAGCCATCAGTGCAGAGGAAAAAGGAAAAGTACAAAGATATCTCCCCTTTGATGGACTAAACGCTGAATTTTTAGATAAACACACACCCCACTGACTTAAAATTAAACCTCATATTTTTTCCATCTAGTATCAGCGGACAAATAGAACAAATGGAAATCATGCACAAATGTCCTCAGGGATCACACATGCTCTTCCTATCAACGATGGTATTGAAATTAGGGGAAGCATCAGAGGAACTTAAAAGAGCATTACCTGAAAATTCTTGTGTACCCAGGTAACCAGTGGCTCCTTGACACCATTTGACCGAGCATTATTCTGCCCATTAGCAATCCTTTCCTGAGATGGTGGACATTTTGCTACTTGCGACTCTTTCTCCAGTATATCAACAAGTTCATTGAGCAAGAAGTTCAAAAATTCATGGGCATCCTACAAAAGTACATGATACGTCGAAGGATATCTAATATATAACATTCTCCATATATCATAAGAAACAAAGCCACACAAAGGAAGGAGACACAATTGTATACATGAAAATAGAAATAATTGAGTGCAGAATGACTAGCTCAATACAGTTCAGCATACTTCAGCTTCCTATCCCAATGTCAGATTATCTCAACCTTATCAAAGTTCATATTATTAGCTTCTGAAACATGTATGGCTTACCATAGACTCAATCTAATTAGCTTGTACAGAATGTATTGCTACCAAAGGTTCTTAAAATCAAGAAAGATCAGGCATATTGATATGAGCTGTGGCTCGATGAGCATAGCATTTTGCCAATGTTTCAATAACCTTTTAAGAAATTCAGGAAAAACACATTTGTGCATAGATAGACAACAACTACGATTTCACTTGTTAATTTTAAACCCTTACCCCCCCCCCCCCCCCAACCAAAACAAAAAAAAAGTGAAGACTGGTTGAATACTTGCATATCTTTTTTTTTTCTTTTTTTCTTTTTGAATACTTGCATAACAATGTAATGTAAACACAAAAAAATTAGATCATAAGATATACCTGATGCATGTAGCCACGGAAAAGTTCATTTTGTTTTCTCACTCTCTGAACAAAACGCTTTGGTGCAATGACACCTGTTTTCTTCTTTTGTGAACTTATCTGGGGGTAAAAGTTCAGATATTCATTAGAGCCTAAAACCTAAAGTTGCAATTTCTACTCGAAATATCAATATTATCACTATGTATTTAAATAAAGCACAACAGAGTTATCTAAAATAAACATCACTTATGGACTGTTGTGCAATATATTGTAGAACTGACAGATCTCCCAGTTTGACCTCCAATACATCCTTCAATGCATGCATGTCCAATGTGTGGCATCTCCTTATCTAGTTCTCTCTTAATTTAACTGGGCTATTACTTTGCTAGGCAAGCAAAAACTTGGTTGCCTTTTGAAGTTAGGACGTTATAGAATAGCTTTTCCACTCACACCAACCCTTCAATTAAGTAACAGTAATACAAGAAAGATTCCACCAAGTGTCTAACCAAAATCAGATTCAGTTAAAAAAATATCTTCTGATTGTGAAGTTTCCTCTTTGATAAGGAACATTTAGTTGGCAAATTAAATGTTCACCATAAGCAGCAAGACTGACATGACATGTACCTTTCTAGTCAATACTCTGGACTCGAAAGAGTATGCACACAAAACTCCTAAATTATCATCCAAATCATGAAATAGAGCAATTAAATTAGGGATTATGGGCATAGTAATCGACAACCAGTTGAAGTATCAAGAAGCAGAAAAGATGCAATAAAAATTAAATGTGATCTTGGGGAAGGTGTAAGTACCAACAATCAGTTTATCTAGGACTTACTGGGGCCAATCTTCACAAGAGAGTGCTACGAATATTCACAACCAAACAAAGTGTTTTGTACAAGAAAATAGATCCAAAAACGTTCACAAAAAAATCGAACCATGTAGTCTCATGTTCATGAAGCTATACATCTTTGTGTTCAACACAAAGGACATACTTTTACTCCTCGTACATGCAAAGACAGCAGCTTTCTGAAGGAAGTTACCGTTAGCTATTCTTGTACAACACAGACAAATTGCAAAGGATAACTCATCACAGCCATTGAACTTATGATTGTAGGACATAACAAAAGGTCAAATCACAGCAATGTTTGAGGACCGCAATATATATATATATATATACATATACATATATATCGGAAAGCATAGCAGAAAAGAATGCGTACAAGTATGAGCGGAAACAAACACCAATTTGAAAGTAGATTTAATCAATTTTCCAGCAAATACACCATACCTGCGAGAACAATTCTGCCAAACAAGTCAAGAGATTTTCTTCTGCTTCCCCTAGAGTTTTCCCATTTGCATAATACTCTAAAAGTTGTTCCCTAAATGGTACACAGAAGTATAACGCCTGCATATCCAATCACCAGCACCCCAACCCCCCCCCCCCCCCCCCCCAAAAAACAAAAAAAAAAGCAGAAAAATAAACACCATTAATGATTAAAAACGAACCAATCCAAATATAAAATCTTGATACGCCACTGGAAAGTCAAGAAAAACCAAGACCATCATCGCAAATGAATCAAAGTTCAAACCAAAAATAGAAACTTTGACCAACAACAAGAACGAAATAAGTGCTCAAAACTCGAAGAAACCAAAATTCCAGAGAAAGAAAAAAGACAGAATTTTTATGTAAGAAATAAAAACCTGCAAGACACTGTTGCAATAGCAAGTATTCCCAAAATTTTCAAGGCCAAAATAGCGTTCTCCTTCAGGAAACTGGTCTCCGAGGGCCTTCTCGAGCTTGGAACCCGTGGCACCCATTACTTGGAGACCATCTACAAGATACCAAAACTCCTCTATTATTTTTCTTTTTTACTCTTCAATTCAAAATCAAATTCCGTCTCCCTTTATTTAATTGATGGGTTTTAGGGGGTTTTAACTCTAGTTGTTGATAGTATCAAGTGAGATTAGGAGGAGAGAGTCCCAATGGTCTGAGAAGACTGGAAAGAGTGAAAGACGCATCAAAGGATTTTCCGTAGGGCTGTTGAGCGCTACAAGGTTAATTTTGTTGACTTTAGCTTTGCATCTTGGGCATACAGGCACGCAGGCATCAGGTTTGGCACTTGACCCTTTCAGTTGTTTTTTGTTCTTTCAGGAAAAATAGTAAGTTGAGTCCCTATTTGTGAAAGGTAGTTTAGTCCATGTTATTCTTGTATTGTGAATCTTGGGTTGCAAAGGAATCTTGAGGTCCAAACGAATCGAGCGGCTCGTGAGTGGCTCGATTCGAGCTCGAGCTGATCGAGTCAAAATCGAGCTCGAGTTCGAGTTTAAAATATTAAACTCGTTAGCTCGTCAGTTCGAATATATATATATATATATATAAATATATTTTTTATTTTTATTTTAATAGTAAAATTACATAAATATTCTTAATATTTTATTATTTAATAAAAAAATATTATTTTATTTATTTTTTTAAAAAATATTATTTTATTTATTTTTTAAAAAAATAATTATTTTTATTTTTTTCGAGTTCGAATTCGAGTTCGAGTTTAAAAATTGCCAGCTCATCGAGTTTGAGCTCGAGTTTGAGTTCGATGAAATTAAATCAAGACTCGATTCGATAAGGTCAAAACTCGATTCGACTCGACTCATTTGCAGCCCTAAAATTGTGATGCATGAATTGTTTCTACTTTCAAAACAAAAAATGTTACGAATCATTGTACATGCCCGAGAGCAAGAACTGCTTAAGTGGTAAAGTAATCCTTTGACTTTTTTTTTTTTTTTGGTTTTGTTTTTTTGGGGGAGGGGGGGGGGGGGTGGTGGGTTTCAACAATTGAACCTTGATACGTGCAATCCACAGCACGTATTCTCCTTTACTAAGAAAGAAAGAAAGAATTGTTTATCTTGTTTTGACTGCTGGATGCTAATTGTTGGCCTTCAGAGGCGGGGCTTGCCCATTTCCAGATCCCAAAGAAGGATTGCACCGATTGACTTCAGGTTCAAGCACAGAACCTATTCAAGGGGCCGAACGGTTACCAAGAAAACGTTCGGGCTGTTTTATGCAACGACGTAATTCTATCTGTACACAACTTAAATCACTTTCAATAATGTATAATTTTAAAATAAAAATTTTGTGAATCCCACACATGATATAAAAAATAAAGTAAGAACAATATATATATATATATATTTTTTTACCAAATCTTGGCCATGAACTGCTAAGAACGGTTGCAGGAAAAGGAGGAGGAACACGGTAACGTGCAACTTCATCAATGCCATTTACCCTCATTTGGAAAATGTATTTTTCGTAAAACATTTCTTTTTTGTAGTATTAGTCACAAAACATTACCAGTATTATGCAGAGCCATTTTGTGGCATCTTTGTTATATGAGAGCAATGCTGCAGATTTGATGCAGTCTTATGCTAAATATACTAATCTACCGTTTTGTAGTTGTACTGTAATTGCTCATGTAGTAGTACTACAATTGCCTGTTTAAGGCGTGTAAATAATAATAAATTGATTGCCTGTTTAAGGCGTAAAAAAAAAAAAGATTGCCAGTTTAAGCCAACTTTGCTGAATCATAAAAATAATCATTTTGAGAAAATCACATTTGACAAAAACTAAGGGTCGATTCAGCGCATTGAATTGCGTTTTGTCTCCAAATGCTCTGGAACATATAGTTCCCACTTTATTGTATTACCTCAGCTTTCGTGTGATTATGTGTTGTTTTGTCTTTGTGTGAGAAGAGAGTCATCATGTTTGAGAACCGAAGGTTCTCCTTAGAAACTCAAAACACTCATCATGTTTGAGAACGCAAAATTGGCCAAATACAAATCGCAAGAAATTAAAACTGATGATTCATGTTTGCTGGACCATAAAGCATTGAAGAGAGAGCATGATTAGTTTTAACTAAATCATGCATGACAACAGAGATGCGAAATTAATGTCACAGGAAAATAAGGAAACAAGGAGCATAATGAATCGAGAGTCAGACGTGAAATTGGCCAGCACAGTAGTCCCTAACTCTCTTAATGAACTCGGGGTCACTGAAGCCCGCGAACGCTTCGGAAAAGCAATCATCTGAAAGCTCGGAGATGGCGTCGCAACAATTTTGCCCGACTGAAGAACCATCTTTCTCGAAAAAGAAAGTTATGAGATCTCTTATGCAAACATCCACGTATATCAATGCATCCTGGCAGTCAGCGGGATCCTGGGGAGCTCTGGGGGTCGGTGGTGGTTGTCTTGGAGGACGAGAAGGTGGTAGTGATTTTGGAGGAGGTGCGAGTGGCGGTTGTGGATGCCTTGGAGGAGGAAGAGGAGCTGGGGTTTGCGGTGGCGAGGATCGAGGAGGCGTTGGTGGTGGCGGCTGCCACCAAGGAGACCAGGGCCAAGGCCAGCCCCATGCATGGGTAACACTAGGCATGCAAACCAACATTAGGGCAACAAATTTAACTTTGTCACCCTCCATTTTGATGGTCACTGGTGAGTTTGTTAACGCAAAAAGTACAATAAAATAAGTTCAATCTACCTTCTTATGCATAGGTGCTTTTGGATGAACAAAGTGAAATTCTCAAGTGTCCAAGACTCCTTGTTAATCAAGAAGTCTTTTCCTATTCTATTCATAATAGCGACTACTTTCTGTCGTTCCTATTTATTTTCTACCGCTTCTGCAGCGAGGCTTCTTCCTATCCATACAGGAGCCAATCATGTTCGAGATTCATAAAACCATACGTATATTAATCCTAGCACATCTGCCATACCTCTTCCTCCAGCCTCCAAGTTTCCTTCCATCTGCATCCTTCTGCCGTTAACGAAAATTTTGTGCCCTCTTCAAATTACATCTTTCTTCGATTCCCACAATATTTTCAAAGCAGATGGGGCTTCACCTACACAAATACGCATCCCGTAGAGCATGTCGCCAGAACCAGGAAAGAACCATGCATTCCCCTCCTCTCTTTTGTCGCTGGGTCAAAAAAGAGAAACAGAGAATCTAAAGACCAAAGCAACCAGCCAATGGCCTCCATCAATGCTGAATAGAAATGTTAAAAAAAAAAAAAAGTTGCAAAAGATCTTAATTTAAAGCGTTAGTATCAGAAAAACTTCACTCAATTTGTGAAAAGATTAAAGAAAGGGATCCAACAACAAGGAGTATGACTGCGCTGGCTATTAGACTCTCCAAGCAGAATAACAGTGCGAGGTGGATTCTGCCTCAATAGATTTTGCTGAGTTGCAATGTATGTGGGAAAGTACAGATGAAAAGTTCCGCAGATGGGCTGAGTTGAAGGGCAGATAATCAAAAGCTTTTCAGTCATTTCAAATTATTCACTCTATACGTTCTCTCTTATTGCAGATTCCAGGTTATCAGAAAATCAAAGGGCTTTAGCGGATAGATTGATACTGATCCGATACACGTCTTGGAGGTAACTTCCGTAGGATAAAAAGCACTATTGCAGATGGCACAATTTCCACCATCTGAAAAAAAACCCATAGGCAGCATATAATCAGCAGGGGCCATTGAGTGCTCTGGTGGGCGTATCCAGCTGCTGCTTTGGATACTCCATTTCTAGTAGCTATTGACAAACTCGTTAACAGAACCAAGTGTAAGCGCATTTTTGAATACTTGACTGAGAGGTTACAGATGCTATATTACACGAATCATATGACAGAAAGATGCAAATTGTACCATGTAATAGAAAAGGTTGAGGACCGGATGGTCCAGGACATCAACATCAACATCCTCGTCAAAGGCAGAAAGAGCATCCTGTAATATTTCAGTGAAGATGTTATACACTATCATGGTAATAGAAGTTTGGATATGGCTATGTTTTATAGTGTAATAGATTATGCAACTTACCATAACGCATCTTATCAGGAAACAAGCGCAGCAAATGCATGTCACGTATCCAACCTGCCAAGAAGAATCGTCAACCATCAACATTCACTTCACCATAGCATATAACTTAAGACTGCAATCACTAAAATAAGTTAAGATGCAGGACAAGACCACAAACCTTGCAATTCTAAATAAAATAGTCTCATTCATTTTGCCGTGTTTGAAGTTTATCCATAAAAGAGACGCTATAAAGAAGGGTCACTGTTATTTCTCTCCTACTTTCACAATTTACACCAATATCCCCACAGATCATCAAGCCACAATCTTCCCAAAGCATATGAAGATTCTACATGCATCTTTACAGCCAGTTTAATCTTTCAAATGACAAACACGGACTACCAAAACATAATACACTTTTGGGGTCCAAAACCCAAAATCCTTTCCAACTATAAACATTATTTCTTCCTGATTCATGGCTTTGGACCTGCTGGTTTATGGCAATAGCCCCCATGTTACTTCACTTGTGAATTTGCTTCTCATCTTGTATGTTTTGCAATCATTAAGTCCAAAGAACGGCCCCAAGTTTTCCAAACTATTCATGTTGGAAATTTCTGTATACATAGGTGTCAATAATTACTGAATTATTAGGATCAGTTAAGGTGGATCTGTTGCGTACCAAATGGATGCCGAATGTTGTGTGAATTGAAAAAGAAGATGGAAAATAAAAGTAAGCAGGGGAAAAGTTGATATCTTGGAAGTTGACTCTAAACTCTAAAGTGGATTCTTAAGAAACGGGCTTCTATATTAAGAGAAACCAAATAAAACTATCAATATTTATTTAATTTGGAATAAATGCAGCAACATTATGTAAATAGCCGTTATAAAGAGACAAAATTGCAAGCTAAAACCTCCTGCAGTTTCTTTTGACGGCCTCGAGATTGTATGGGAAAGCGTCTCAGCATGATGAATAACCTAAACAGGAAAAGCTAAGCAGGAAAAGCTAAAAATCTTGGGGTACTCCGATAGATAACTAAATGATGCTGAAGACATTATTTTACAGTCAAGCAAGCAATTACCTTCCGCCATATATCAAAAATCCCAAAGCAGCGGAAAAAGAGAGAACTGTAAAAAGTCAAATGTTACATCCTAAAAAATGCATCAGCAAACAAATAATCCAGCAATCAACAAAAGAAAATATGTACTCACCTGGAAAAAAGAAAATATATACTCACCTGAAAAAAAGAGCCGAGCAACTTGAACTGCAGTTGTCGTCTGGCTGACTCTTGCATAGATCCAGATGCACACCTACAAAGCACCAAAGCATTTCTACAATTGATTAGAACAGTCAAAGTCAGGAAAAAAAAAAGCATGAATTAAGGCAGTGGTTACATCAAAACTTGATGTTGCTACCTGGAGAAGGTAGATCAGACCATTAATTATATAGTATGTGGGTCGAAGCTTATCAACGGGAAGACTTCTTGCCTGAAGCAAATTAATAAAGAATTACAGCCAGTAACTTGCTTGAGGAGGTTCACAACCATGTAAAGAATCTGTTGCAAAAGTACCTGATAGTATATTTCAGCCCAGAACAGAACAAGTAATGTATATGTTGAGAAAAACAGCAGACCTGGAAGTTCCAAAAGTATCAATTCAAGTGCCTGTCCATCACATTTGCTTTGAGTAAGAATTTCAAAAGATTTCAAGAGCCACAGTTTTTCACTTGTGCTTCATACTTGCTAAAGTAGACGAACAAACATTAGAAGTGTAGGACAGAATGAAACTCAGAGACCAGATGCAACGAATGTCCATTATAAGAATGAAACATTTGAATCATTAACAATCCTACGCCAGAAAAGGTTTGTTTCCTTTCAGGTAAAGACTTAAGCTTGATTATGTAGGTCCTTGTACATATTTTCATCTGAAGGGCCCCTAACCATGTTCATATTTTCATCTGAAGGGGCCATAACCATCAACCAATTTTACAATATACTTGAAAAGCTTATGCCTCAGTGGACAGGACTACAAAACAGAAATGAAACAAAATGAAATTAAGGGGACAACAATTACCTTCGTTCTGATGGTAAACACGTTTCTGTAAAATCCAAACAGGACGGCTCTCACTGCCAAAAGTTCAATAAAGTTTAAGGAGTCAGACAAATTTAACAAGAAGCGATTCCAGATAGAAAGAAAAAGCAAAACTTACATCCTGTCACAATAAAATTCATCAGGTGAAAAACCTTTTGTGTTGTCCAACCATATTCAGGTACTCTTAACTGAATGCGAATAAGTTGCACCTGGAAACAAATTAAGAATGAAATGGCAATCGAGTAACAACTAAATCTAAAAACAGAGAAACTTTCAAACTTCAGAACATGGAAAATGCAGATTCGAGAGCAACTCATTCATCACTTGACTAGGAGATCAACCGAACAACAATTCAGCCTAATTCTAGACCCACAGAACAAAATGAGGGAGCCGTTGAATATCATCTCCCAGACCAAATACATGTTTTGAGTCCAAAATTTGTTTCTTTTCAACTTTCAGGAATCATCCCCTTCCTGCTTTAGACAACAGTGAAAAAAAATCTGACTTCCACAGGCTCAAATAAGTATCTCGAAAAACAGAAAAATCCAACCAAACATAAAATCAGAAGGGGGGAAAACAGAGGGGCAACATAAACTGCTACGCATTCAACAAAGGAAGAAAGGAAGCAAAAAATTATCTCGGACCCCCCGAGTGCCTGCCATATTCAAGAAATGCAATTGAAACCATAGACTTATGTTTAAATTATTATTAGAAAGCATGTTATTATCAGTCTTACCAGTGCAACCAAGGAAACCAATGCATAAGACGCAGAAAGAGTGTAATATAGTCCCCGCTGCCATTTTTCCGACTCTTGAATTTCATTCCACCAATCAAAAAGGTCAAGTAGTTCTCCTCCTCCTCCTCGTCCACTGTAATAATCCTTTGCCTCTCCAGACACAAGGCTGTTGAATTTCAGCATTGATGGAATCAATCAAGTGAAGAGAAAAACGCACATCAATTTGCAGTAATTCGCGCAAAGATTCTGATGAGAAAAAAAGGAACTTGACAGAGAGTAGTAGTAGTATTCATTAATATTCAGTCCGAGAAAACAAGGAAAAGACAAGTGGAGGTCACACGTGGTGTACACGTGGGGAACAAAGGTGTGCCAGGTGTGATGGCAAAGCATGTGTTGACCTGGCGTGATGGCCCCACTTATTACGCCGATTTCGCAATGGTCTTAGGTAAAAGTGTTCGTAAAACTGTTGTATAAACTCCTCCCCAGTCCCCAGGGGCCAATTACCTTTCCTGCATATGTTTTCAGGCTTAGACTCGATCGAACAGAGGTTAATAAGTTCGAGCGAGATTGAATCGAATGATGTTATAAATAAAAATTATTTAAAATTAAAATATCGTAAGTAAAATATCTTAACGGTATATTTACATATATATTTGATGTTTCAAATATATTTAATAAGAAAATACAAAAAAATTAGAATGATCAAGTAACAATTTATATCATTCAATGAACATTAACAAGTTTAGAATTGAAATTATAGACTTGATTGAAAAATAACACCAAACTTTTAAGACAATATTTATAAAGTATGAAATATTTGAGGCATATTAATAATTTTTAACAACCCAGGAGTCAAAACATAATATTGAAAAGGCTTTGACCTTTTCAAAAAAAAAAAAAAAAAAAAACCTTTGACACCACCATGGTTTTTCCGATTTTTTTCGATCAAACCCGATTTTTTATTTGATTTGACCGAGTTTTTATGTATCCGATTTTTTAGAATAACCTGGATCGGATACTTGACCGGTCCGACTCTACCTATCTGATCAGTCGGTCTGATTTGAATTTAAAAACATATATAATTTCCTGGCTGGCGAGAGGTCCTTGCTCCAGCCTCAGACTGGGGTGGTTCGGCACAGGCCACAGGGACAGGGTAGATTATTGTTACATTTCTGTGGATAAAGTCTCGTAAAATGCAAAAGTTAATCTGCTTGGCTAGACCAAAAAAGAAATGCGGCAGTAAGCAAGCGCACGAGGAATGCTGCAATGCGACAAATCACAAATAGTTCCTCCTCCCGCCCCGTTTCTTGATTTCACTGCCTTTGTCCTGCCCAGGCCTCCCTTCTCTTCTGCGACTTAGACAATGGTAATAAAAATCACTCTCTCTCCTTGTTGCCCCTGGCATCTTGCCTTGCTAATTTAGTCAAGAAATCAATCGACCCTAGCGGAATCCTAAACTTGCATCGCTTGCAATGTCTTTTCCTTTTATTTTATTATTCTTGTTATTAAATAAATAGGCTGCTGAATCAATTCCAAATCGTCGAACAACTTGAGTGAGTATTTTAACAATTCCACCCTCGAATTATAACAGCCATAACCAAACAACTTGATGTTCACTAATCGCCTTTATTATTGGTCTTCTTCTGGACTCATTTGGA